TCCCTCATCCAGTTGAGTTACCATGAACTTTCCCGTGGCCTGCTAGGACTTTAACAACCCAGATACTGTTGATCTTGGTGAAAAACACTCTAGAGTGTATTTCATGGATACGCTCTTCTATGGCTCAGATACTGAGTGATTTTTATAGCAACCATTGGATTGCATTTGATTCATGTTTGGCAACGTAAAATTAGAAGAATTAGGTCAGTGAGAAAGTGCTTAGTTTAACTATCACCTCTATAGAATATCAAAACTTATTAATATGTGCTTCAATATATATATGAAATGTAAATTGGCACTGCATTTTGCTGTGCCAGTGCCCAAGATGCTTCCCACAGCCACTTGGGAGCGGTTCTTCTGTGCCGTGAGATTTTAATGCCTCGTTTTGGTCTGTTCCTCTGGCACCTGATTTTTTTTTAATCCTGTTTCTGATTTGCATTTTTTTCTTTCCCATTGGTAAACTTAGTGACTTGCTGCTTTATGTCTTGGTGTTACAAAAAAATTGTGATGCATTCCCTGCAGGACTCCAAGAGAGATCACAGTGATGAATATTCACAAAGCCATCTGTAATATTCCCTTTCTTGACTTCCTCACAAACAAACACATGAAGATACTAAATGAGGAGCAATGAAACAGAGCACAGAAGATGCTACGGGAAAGGTGAATTTATGGCCGAAGCTGGGATGACAAATCCAGTAGGACACTTGTATACTTCATAGCATCGGGCTACTATCTTTTACCTCCAATTAAAGACGCACCTTAATGCAACAAAGTGATGCTCTGTTCCAAATCAAGTTGTTAAATGTCAGTGTTTACTTGGTAAGTGTATGTTCAGTGGCTGAACAAACACTGTCAGTTTGCATCAAAGTTGCTAGCTATGAGAGGCTCCACAGTCTCTGACAAGAGCTGTACTGATGAAATTTTTTTTTTTCTACAAAAGAAATTATGCTTTTTGATGCATACTGCATGCCAGTTGGTTCCCCATGCAGTGGGCAGAACAGTTGCTCTGTCACTTGGAATGTGAGAGAATTCCAGGTCAGCTTTTAAAGGTGGGTCGTTCGAGCAAGTGGATGGGTTGGTTGCTTAGGGTCGAGGTGGGGGAGCAGAAGGCTGATGGTCCCACCAAGTTCTGCCAGTCCTCCTTGAGCATCATGTGACTGGAATACAGCTGGGTGGGCTGCTTGTCTGCTTATTCAGCTGGGTGCGACCCAAGCAGGTAACACCTGGCCTCTTCAGAGGAGGTTTCCCATCTGAGTGTTCTCAGTCACCTCAGAGAGGAAGGTGGACTGGCACGTGCTCAGTCAATATGAATGAACCGTGGTCAGGCTTGGTAAGATGGCTATGGCTGCTTCTGCGTGAGAAAGGTGAAGAGTGTGTACAGTATTCAGTGTCTGTGGGCTTGGACTGGCTGAAACCTTTGTTTGCCCAGCGAGGGCCTCCCCAGGCTGCTGTGAATTTTGGAAGGCATGTGCCTAGCTTAGCCTTGCTGTTCTGACAGCATTCACTAAGAGCCAGGTTCTCAGGTGTCACTTTGACTGAAGCTCTGAATTCACAGCCTGATGAGATCAAAGAAATCAGAGGCTTATTGCTTGTGGGTACCTCCTCTGATAGCCCGACTGCAAGGAAGTTCTGCTGCTCGTGCTAGGACTTCTGTCTCAGGAATGTCACTGCTGCAGGAGACGTGTCTGCAGGCTGGCTTGTGACGCCTTTCTCAAGGAAGCTTTGATGACAACACCCAGACTGCTCTCCCCCACTGCCCCTGTGTCCAGCACCAGGGTGCTTGCTCATATGTGAGTAATCTATTGCAAGTTGGTGGGACTCCTGTTGGACCATCATGCTCTCAGATGCATGAGGCAGCACTGTCAGGTGGGTGGAGCATGGGTCGAGCAGCCCGAGCCTCCAGTGCTCTGATCTCAGCTGGGTCACTGGTCTGCTGCATGGCCTTTGATTTAATCACTCCGTGCCTCAGTTTCCCCATCTCTGAGCATGGGGAGCAGGATAACCTACCTCACAGGGATGTACTGAGGCCTCTCGCTCCTGTTGGTGCTGTGCTTTGACTATAAACATTAAACTGCAGTTATCTTTCCTGGCCTGGAATGGGAACGTAAATCTTCAAGATGTTACCTTTTGGTGCTTTTTTGGGGCTAGAAGAAGTGGTAATGCCAGCTGTGTGCAGGGACTGTGGAAGATGGGTGGTGATCTCAGGCTGCCAAGGAGAGCTGACGGCTGGGTGCAGTTCTCAATCTGCAGAAGGTGCTGTGTACCTCAGATGAGATGCTGCGTGTTTTCTCCAATGTGAATAAAGCCAAGGTCTGCAGACAGGCCCCTTCCTAGTTCATTGAGAGCTGGTGGGGCAGTCGAGTCTGCTTGAATACAAGTGGCGGAGCCTGGCCCTTGGATCTAGGAAACTGATGGATGAAATCCAAGGAGCGTTCAAAGAAGGATTTGGGTTCCCCTGGAAATGCTATTTTTGGATGCTCTGGATTCAGAGGACAATCCTGGCTTGTTGGGGTGAGCCCAGCACAGGAAGTGCACAGCTTAGCCCTGATGTTGGCTTTTTGCAGGGATCAGTGTGAAGGGGCTGAGCGGTGGTGATTATATCTGAGCTGCGCAGGGGGAGGTGCAGGGAGCTAGGGCTGCTGGCCCTGTGCTGTTTGTAGGATGTGAGCTCCAAGTCCGTGCTGCGCCCAGCCTCCTTGGATACAACTTCTACAAAAGGGTGTTTTGGAGCTATCTGTCACTATTGCTGTGATGGGGTGTGTAGGAAACAGCCTTTGGGCAAATGCAGCCATGCTAAGATGTGCTGCAATGACGCACGCATTCCCAGCCCCCGGCTCCTGTGGGCTTTGCTCTGAGATTTCAGTGCCCAGAGCAGTGCTTGAGAAGCATCAGTGTGGGCATCTGTTTGCAAATGGTGGTGTCCTTGCCCATGTCCTGCTGTTCTGCAAAGAACAGCATCAGTGTGGGAGGCGTGGGGCAGCCCTGCAGCAGAGTGCTGCTGCCGCAGATTGCTGCTGAGGCGTTTCGGAGCAACCACGGGCTATTCTGCTGCATTAATAATAGATAGCATTTGCTGAAGAGAAATAAAATCTGTTAGAAGATAACACATTTGTCGTAGTGCTTTGGATGTAGGAGATGTTTGCAGTATGTCTTTTGGAAAGTGGTGGGAGGAAAATCTTGTCAGCGAGAAGTGCCTGTGCGAATGGCTGGGGATGGGGGCACAGGTGAGAGACCTCTCTACAAACGTGGCCCCTCTGTAATGCTGGGTGTTTGAATCCTTCATGTTACCTGTATTATACTGTATAATTGTGTAAGATACATATGTTTACAATAAATTCTTTTATTAGCTGTGATGAGTTTGTCTGACTGCCACCTGTCACTCCAACTAGGTTGCTCCAGGCCCACAGAATAAGGGGTTTTGTAATGCCCTGCCCTCATGTTCATAAGCATATCTGCAGCAAAAGGGCAGCCTTGTGGAGGTGGTGGAAATGTGGTGATGATGATGAGCTCTACCCACTGGCACACACTTCTCCTGCTTTCCCTGTGCTCCCTTATTAGCCATCCCTTCTGGCAAGAAGGGCCTCTGCCAACAGCTGCCAGCTGGCTCCCATCCATGGGCATATCTGTGTCCTGCTCTGCTCCTTCCCTGTTAGCAAGGGCCTGGAAGCATCGGGCTGAGCTGGAACGCGAGCCTGGGAGACACTGGGCCATCTGCTTAAGGAGATGAAGTCCTTTGCACTCAGAGGGTCCCTGCGTGCTGCCTTGGTGATGTGCTGTGCTGACTGCACTGAGAGCACAGCTCTGGGCTGAACAGCTGCAGCCTTCTGCCATGTACTGGGCTGCTCCTTGGCATTGTATGGTGCTCTGAGGGCCAGAAAAGGGCAAGTCAGTATGAATAAGGCAGAGGTAGGAAGCTTGCAGCTTCTAGGAAATTTGTGTAAAGAGAAATGCACAGCTTTATAAAGGGAAATGCAGAGTGGGACCAGAGGAGGGCTACAAAGGTGCTCTGAGGGCTGGAGCACCTCTCCTATGAAGAAGGGCTGAGGGAGCTGTGCTTGTTCAGCTTGGAGAAGAGAAGGCTCTGGGAGACCTCATTGCAGCCTTCTCTTGTTTAAAAGGAGCTTATAACCAGGAACTGACTTTTTTCAGAGGCTGATAGTGACAGGACAAGGGGCGATGGCTTTAAACTAGAAGAGGGGAAATTTAGGTTGGGTGTTAGGAAGACATTTTTTACTCAGAGTGGGAAGGTGCTGCTGGCACTGCTGCATGGAGCTGTGGCTGCCCCATACCTCGAGGAGCTCAAGGCCAGGCTGGGTAGGACCCTGTGCAGCCTGAGCTGGGGGGGAGTAGTGGGAGATGGAACTGGATGATGTCTGAGGTCCTCCAACCTAAGCTGTTCTATGTTACACACAGGCCAGTCATCAGTGTGCAGCCGTGACCTTTCCAAGCTCAGGCAATGAGTGTTGCTGAGGCACAGGGCATAGCAGAGCTTCACCCCAGCACACAGCCATGCAGGAATTCTGACCTCACCGTATCAGTCCCTGCACAGCAGCATGAAACCAGAAAGCATGGTCCAGAGGTGATAAGGTACAGAGCTCCAGGCGTGAAACTTTCCTTTTGAAGAACATCTCTCCATGCATCAGATAACCAACCATTGTACCAACCAAGTGTAACTCACAGTTGAAAAACTGCTGGTTGTGGATATGAACCCAGAGCAGTTGGGAAGGCAAACAGCAGTGTGAGAGGGGTGCTGGGAGGTGCCAAGGGAAGTGCTGCAGGTGGGGGGATGCAGGGCCAGGCTGTCCTGCCGAGGCTGAGTGCTCATGTCTTGCAGTGTAAAGAATGGGAAAGAGCCAGTAGCCAAAATACGTCTTAATTTATTAAATTAAATCCAATCCCTTTGATAAAATACAAGCTCATTATATTCTCAGTTTGTTTACAACCAGGTTGATGTTTTTAGAAATAGGGTGAATTAACAAGACAGACAGGACAGGCAATGCTTTTTTTTTTTTTTTTTTTTTTTTTTTTTACTTTTTCTGATAATAAAGTCCAGGATTAAAATGAACCAAAATTGAACAAAACAGTTAAAAACATTACAAAGAGATTAATCAAGCAGTTTCATTTCTTCTTAGAAACGCGTGCCATGCAAAACCTTTAGCAGAGTTTGAATGCTTTGAGTGCAATTTCCTGAAAAATGAGCCTCCTGAAAAATGTTTTTGGCAAGCACTGCTGTACATCCTGGGGCCCAAAAACAAGGGCTTGGGGCCAACACCAACCTCTTCCCCCTCCCCCCCCCGTCCAATGCTGCCAGGAACACCAGATTCTCACCTAATGCACTGAGAAGATGCTTTCTGTATGAATCCTGTGTAACATCCACACTCTGATGCTTCCAGCACTCTTCTTATCAGCTACCAGCACCAGTTGCATGTTTGCAGAGTCCTCAGAGCTCATTAAGTCTGCCATTGGCCTCAGCTGGGGGAAGGTGAAGAGAGAATCCCTATAATGAGCCCTGTGGTCACAGATTAATGCGCCTTTTCAGCATTTGGTCGGAGGCATTGCCTTTCATTTTAGCCAACGTATTGGTATCTTTCAAATGTAGAAAGGAAAAGTTTTGCATCCTCTTCTCCAAAATAATCGGTAGAAACAGGAAATGAGGAGCAGACTCATCATATTGCAGTGAGTCTCTGAGATAGCAACCATGTAAACCAGTAAAACCATGGCGGTCTGGGTGAACAGAGGCTAAGAAGGATGGTTTCTTAAAACACACCTCCACCATCTCAGCAAAAGCTAAATCCGCACTGACCTAAAAAATGAGCTTCAGAGTAATGCCACTGAAAATGGCCTATCTTAGCAATGAGGGATGTCACACGTTCTATGCTAACGTTTTTCTTTAAGAAGAGTTTCTAAGTAACATTCACTTTTGGTTGCTCCTAACATTAACATCACCAATAGGCAGGCAGAAATGTAGGCATTTCAAGACAAAACTTTCTACCTTGCATATGCAAAGAGTTAACATTTATTAGAAGTAGAAGCACGTCCTTTTCCTTAAAGGGTCACAAACTGCTTTAGGTAAAATCCAGGTGCAATATTTACATCCAACCCACAAGTATTGTACACCCAGAAGCTCGGTGTGCGTTGACTGCCCTGCACACACAGCTGCCCTGCATGCACAGCCCCCCAGCACAGCCAATGCGGAGCTGCTGGCAGCTCCAGCAAACCCATGGGTTCGGAGCAGCCCCCCTTGTGCTGCGGCCTGGTGCTGAGATGTGTGCAGGAGGCAGCTCTACAAGCTGAGAAGTCAGGCAGGCGCTCCCTGCCCCGTGCTGCTCTGGGGTTTGGTTTTAGTTCTTGCTCCCGTTTGTGACTTTTCCCTCCCGCTGCACACAGCAGAGCAGAGGGTTGCTGCGTGCCTCGCTGGCTGCGCTGCCCTGTCAGCCTCCCAGCGTGCCGCCGGCTGGCACGGCGAGCACGGCGAGGAACCCGCTCCCTAAGGAACTGGGTCACGCCTTGCCGGCTCTGAATGGAGCGCTTTGCAGTCAGTGCACTCACAGGAGGAGAGTTGCCCATCCCCAGTCGCTGGAGCAGCTCCTGCTGACATCGGTTCTCTGATCCCAGCGCTCCCGTGAGAAGTGCATAGTGACGCATCCAGTCGGAAGCACCGCTGTGCCGCTGCCTGGTGCGAGGAAGGCCCTGCGTCACACGTTGAGGATCCGCGACGGCGCCTGGAAAACAGCAGAAGGGTTGGGGGAGAACCTGGTCTTCACCTCTGGGATCTGCTGAGATGAGAGGAGAGCAGCATTAGAGCAATGTAAGACGCAGCTTTCTGCACAGTGTGGGGGCTCTGAGCATCCTGCCCACCTCTGCCCCCTCTCCACAGATCCCCGCTGGCAAACACCGTGCCGTGCCACTGCAGGTGTGCTGGATGCCACTGCACTGGTGCCACTGCACTGGTGCTGGATGGAGGCAGGGAGCTGAGCAGCACGTCTGGACACCAGCCCTCGGGAGAAGTCCACCAGGATGCCCAAAAACAGAGCTGTACCAACTGCTGGCTGTGCCAGCTACGGACCTGAAAGAGCCCTTGTGAGATATGAGCACCTTGGCTCCGGAAGCATGCAGAGATAATGAAAGTGATCAAAACTCTCATGTCTCTGGAGTCAAAATTTCACCCTATTGGGTGCACCTGTTGTATTAAGAATGAAGGACAGCCGGGTGCTCCGTGTCTGCATTAGAACCCAAAGGATTTGAGACAGGAGCAGTCGTAGCTGCGCGCTCAGCCCAGGACTGGGGGCATCTGCCCATAAAGAATGAAAGTCCTGCTGACTGCTGAGGATTCTGACAGCACCATCCAGCCAAAAAGGATGAGGCCATGGGGAAAAAGCTATTGATCTGTTTGTTGTTGTTGAGCTGCTCTGTTTTCCATTCCTCAGGGTATGCATCTGACGTGCTAAGGAGCAGAAGCGGCATCCCAGCCAACCTGTCCTCCACTCAGCAGCAGGGCAGCCAGCGCTCCAAGTCCTGCAGGCAGCTTGTCAGCAAAGCCAACCTGATCAGCAAAGCCACAGGCTTCAGGCAAGAGGGGAAGTCCAAAAGGCCAAGTGAAAACCAAGGGGAGTCTCACTGTCTCACTCCTGTCAGAAATGGTGGTTCCTTGTCACCTACTCAATTTTGTATGCCCCTCCTTAGCTGTCTGTGCCCTAGATGCTGTGGGGATCTCCAGCTGCAGCACGTGAGGTCTTTACACAGCCTGTAGCACAGTGCCCTAGGTAACATGTGCTTCCATCTGAGATTTCACTTTTCTCTCTCCCTTCTTTAAGAAGTGGGAGAGACTGTGGGGTTCCTCTGGGACCCCCTCATTGGGACCCTGTCAGTAGGCTGCAAGCACAGGAGGGCTGTATGCTTTAGAATCACAGAATCACCGAGGTTGGAAAAGACCTCCATGATCATCTGCTCCCACCATCCACCTACCAACAGTATCTCCCACTAAAACATGTTTTGCAGCCCCCCTCCTGACTTCACCAAAAACAGAGAACTGCCATTTCATGGTGGCTCTGCCCAGGACAGCTGCCGGCTTCCACATCTGCCACAAGTCCTCTGTTAGTGACCAGCAGGGATGGCAGGGCAGCCCTGCTGGCTGCCTTACAGCTGCCTGCTGCACAATGCCACCGCAGCACAGCACAGAGGTGCTCCTCCACAGGCGGTGCCCCTGCAGCCCCTGCTGCCAACCCCCCTCAGCCCATGCTGCTCAGAGCACAGGGGAAGCATGGGTGAGGTTTGCAAATGCTCTCTTTTGCCTGAGGTAAGTGTTCCACTTTCAGTGGGTATTGCTGCACATACCCAGCCTCTGCGGAGGCTGTACTTTGCCATCTGCTGATTAAACATTTCTTCCTCGCGTTCGCCAAGGCAAAGATTTGCTTTATGCATGCCTCGCTCTCAGGCTGGGTGCAGGCGGGCTGCAGGCTGCCCCCCTAGAAGCCAGGGCTGGGCAGCCAGCAGTGGGGCACAGCTTTATTCTGCACACCTCGCTCCCGTAACAGATGAAACATTCCTGATGTGCATTTTTGGGCTTTACCCACACTGACTTTGGGATTAAAAACATGTTAATTACCTTATAGTCTGCCTTGTAACTTGTCTCCTGAACAAAATGGTCATCTGGGATAATGAAGCCTTGCTTTGTCTTTATGGGCTTGGATGGTTTCGCTCCAGTCCAAGGGCGATACTCTTGCCTGAAACAAGATGGTCGAGACAAAAGAGCCCATAAAACACAACAGATTCACCGATTGCCTCTGCTCAGAGCGGCTGCAAACCCAGAAGGCAGATTAGATATTGCTCACAGTGCTGAGCTTATCTAAACCGGGAATAAAAGAATGGAGCCTACAGGCCTGAAGCTCAAAAAGCCTGGAGATGCGCGGGGCTGATGGGCTGCCCTGACTTCTCTGTTACTCCTGGCTCACTGCCTGGCCTACGCTTCATTCCTAAGCACAGTTCCAACCTCACAGTGCTGCCCCTTGGCTGATTCATAGCGGTGCAGTGCAGCCCCAGGATGCACCTCACCTGGAGACAGATCAGCAAATCAACTAAATTACTGTAGGAGATGAAGTTAGCATCTCTGCAGGAGGTGCTCCGGGCTGAGCAGTGTCCTGGGAGCACAGCCTTTCTGCAAGGAGCACCTGGCAGCACATCTGGGGTGCAGCAGCAGCAGGGTGACTCCACTCCTCATTAAGAAACAGAGAAAACAGCTCAGTTAGCAGAGCAGGGGTAGCTCCATGAGCTGGCCTTTCCTCCTCCACTGCACTCATCTGCTGACAGCTGGCACACCAGGGAAAGCTCAGCAGCACCTCTGAACGTTTCTCACCTTTTCCCCCTTCAGACTCAAAGCTGGGTGTGCAGCCTGGGATCCCTGCCAGCAGGGCAATGAGCTGGGATGGGAGTGGGAAAGGAAGAGGGAGTGGGAGAGATGGAGCCGGAGGGTACGACACACATGTGGGAGTGAGGAGGAAGAAAGCTGAAGATGTGGCCGCTTCTGTCTCAGCCATCGCCATAGTGATGTCAGGCAGTGCTGGGAGCTGCTCATGCCTCAGGAAAAGGTGGCTCAGGGAGGTGGTTCTCCCATCTTCCCTTCCTTCCCTTTTTCCTCTATTGTAGGTTTGGGTTCCTCCTCACTTAATGCAGCAGCCCATGCTGGCACAGCTTCTCCCCACTGCACGCTGTCCTCACATGGCTCTGCCTCGCTCCCCTGACTGAGTCCTGCAGTGTGCAGTCAGCCCAGCCCCCAGCCCAGCCCCTGCACTCCCCAGACAGCATGGCAGGCCAGGGTCTGCAGGACTAACCTTCCCAGGCAGCAAGATACCTAAGGGCGTAAAGAGAACACCGAGCCTTGGTTAGAAGAGCTTGACTTCCGCTATTCGGGATAAGTGTGTTTCAATACCTTGCTGGATGAGGGATGAACCTCTGCAGGGGTGCCCACAGTTCTTCACAGTGGGAGCGCACCACACTGTGCAGCCCCATCCCTCTGCCTATCCTGTGTGCCCCAGCTCCCCTTGCAGAGCACTGACTCATTTTGAGCCTGTAGAGCTCCATGCGAAAAGCTGGGGACGCGGGGAATGCTCTGGAGAGCAGGCTGCCACGCTGTCCTTCCATCCTTCAGGCAGATTTGCTCGTTTATAATTAAAAATATCCACTTTTACCTCTCTTTCGGCTCTGGGAAGACTCCCACGAAAGTCCCAAGAACGGTTATCAGGGTGTCTGCCTACTGCTAAATGCCCCGTAAGCCTGGTGGGTCAGCCCAGTGGGTCAGCACGATGGGTGCGATGGGTCAGCCCGATGACCGCACCGCATAAGGGAAACACACAGGTCTGTTTGCGGCTCAGCTTCCTCCCGTTCCGGACAGTGAGCGCAGGACCAGCTGCGGCAGGACTTGCAGAGCAAAGTCTCACCGACGCAGCCCGAACGGCACAGGGCTTCACCGCCGTACCCGCGCGCCCCACCAGAGCTTTCCCGTCCCGCAGATCCCGCCTCCGCCACGACGCGGGGACCCGGCCGAGCCCGGCCGCCACTGCAGCCAACCAACACCAACGACCTACGGGCGGTGCGGAGCGGTTTCTCCCCGCGCCCGTCCGAGAGCACGGCGCGGCCCCGGCCCGACCGCCACGGAGAGGCCGCCCCGGGCTCCGAGGGCTCCGCCGCGGCCGCTTCCCCGGCGCGGTGCCCGCCCGCAGTGCTCGCGCTCCGCCCCGCCGCCCCCGCGGCGCCGGTACCTGTAGGACGTGGTGGGGCCGCCGTCCGCCCGCGGGCGCCGCTCCGGGCGGCCGATGCCGGGCAGGGCGCGGACGGCGCGGGTCGGGGCGGGCGGAGGCGCCGTCGCTCGGTGGCC